CATTTTCGCCAGCATCGCTGCTATCATCTTCGCGTCTACCGTTGTCGACGTCGCCATGATACCGCGCCCGCCCAAGTGGCCGACTCGCACTGAAGTCCCCGCTGGGAAATGCCCAGCGGTCAGCGCCAAGGCGGCCGCATCGTTCGCGCTCAAGTAGCTGGCCGCTGCGCGCGCGAGCATTGCACCTGCCAGCTCCAAGCGCTCATCGCAATCGCCGCCGCATGGGTTTTGCTAACCACGTTGCGGGTGGGTGGGTGGGGTGATTGCGCGAGCAGGGGAATGAACATATATGTATATATATATATAGATATATGTATTGCACAACATACGTTGCACCACGTTGCTCATTTACACCACGCAGGTTGAAGGACAATGATAGCACCACAGAGATTGCTCCGCATAGAATGAACAACGCGGATTGCACCACCTATATTGGGCCACATGTTGTATCAGAGCATGCCGTTTTGGGTCCACGCTGGCTAATGTTTAATGTGTGTATTTACCTCTCTGTCTCTCTCTCTCTCTGTTTCTCTTTCTCTCTCTCTCTCTCTGTCTCTCTCACACTCTCTCTCTATATATATATAGATACGTATGTACGAATAAACACGTATCTGCCGCCCCTGGCGTGGCACATCTTGGGAACAGGAACCGCGTACATGCCACCCTGGCCCAGGCAGGAGGACGGATACACCATGCCAGGCTCCAGGATGTTCAGGATGGTCTTGGACAGCGGTGTGTGTATGTATCTATATATATATATATGTATATATATACATATAGATTTCAACATATATAAATGTATGTATGCATGCATGCCTGTATGTATGTATGTGTGTATGTGTGTATGCATGCATGTATGTATGTATGTCTGTATGTACGCATGCATCTAGGTATACATATACATATACCACATTTGTATACATGTAGAGTTGAAACAGTGTATACGTGTATGTGTGTACATCTGTATTGACACGTATATAGATATGTATACACGTGCATATATACATATATGTATGTATGTATGAATGAATGAATGTATATATATATATATATATATATATATATATGTGTATGCATGTATGTATGTATGCATGCATGCATGCATGTATGTATGTATGTATGTATGTATGTATGTATGTATGTATGTATGTATTATTTATGTATTTATGTATGTATGTATGTATGTATGTATGTATGTATGTATGTATGTATGTATGTATATGTGTACATATGTATGCATGTATGTATGTAAATATGTATGTATATGTATATGTATATGTATATGTATGTATGTATGTATGTATGTATGTATGTATGTATGTATGTATGTATGTATGTATGTAGGTATGTATGTGTGTATGTGTGTATATATATGTATATCGGAGGTGAGGGGGTGAGATCGAATTGGAACAGAGAGCCCCCCCCACCAGGAAATCGATTTCGGTTTCGTGTTCGTGCGTGCCGTGCGTGCGGGCGAGGCGACGCTGCGTGGGCGGGCGAGAGGAAAGTCTCCTGTGGCTGAGGCGCGGCCGGACCAAATGACTCCCTTCTGGCGTCTGGTGGGGCGCGGTGTCCCGCCAGTGTCCCGCTGTGGCTGAGGCGCGGCCGGACCAAATGACTCCCTTCCAGCGTCTGGTGGGGCGCCGTGTCCCGCCGGTGTCCCGCCGGTGTCCCGTCGGTGTCCCGTCGGTGTCCCGATGATGATGATGATGATGATGACGATGATGATGATGATGATGATGATGATGAGATGATGATGATGATGATGATGATGATGATGATGATGATGATGATGATCATGATGATGATGATGATGTCGATGATGTTGTTGTTGATGATGATGATGATAGCGATAGTGGTGATGATGATGGTGTCCCGATGATGATGATGTTGACGATGTTGATGATGATGATTGTGATGGTGGTGGTGATGATGGTGTCCCGATGATGATGATGTTGATGATGATGATGATGCTGTTGCTGATGATGATGATGATGGTGTCCCGAGTGTCCCGATGATGATGTTGATGATGATCATGATGATGTTGATGATGATGAGATGATGAGATGATGATGCTGCTGAAGATGATGATGAAGATGATGATGATGATGATGATGATGATGATGATGGTGATGATGATGATGGTGTTCCGATGATGATGATGTTGATGATGTTGTTCATGATGATGATGAGATGATGATGGTGGTGTCCCGATGATGATGGCGATGGTGAGGTTGATGATGATGCTGTTGATGATGGTGGTGATGCTGATGAGGGTGTCCCGATGATGATGATGCTGATGATGTTGATGATGATGATGGAGTCTCGTTGATGATGATGTTGATGACGAGGATGATGATGAGGTGATGAAGATGATGACTTTGATGATGGTGGCCCAGTGATGGTGATGATGATGATGCTGATGTTGATGATGATGGTGTCCCGATGATGATGGTGGTGATGATGATGGTGACGATGATGATGGTGTCCCGATGAGGATGGTGTTGATGCTGATGATGTTGCTGATTATGATGATGGTGTTCCGATGATGATGATGTCGATGATATTGATCATGATGATGATGATGAGATGATGGTGGTGTTCCGATGATGATGATGATGGTGTCCCGGTGATGATGATGATGATGATGTTGATGTTGATGATGGTGACGATGATGGTGTCCCGATGATGATGATGATGATGGTGATGATGATGATGATGATGATATTGATGATGATGATGGTGATGAGGTGATGATGAGGACGGTGTCCCGATGATGATGATGATGATGATGATGATGATGATGATGATGATGATGATGATGATGATGATGGTGATGCTGATGATGCTGATGATGATGTTGATGACGATGATGTTGATGATGATGACGTTGATTGTGAGATAGATTGTGGTACCGATCGTGAGATCGATTGTGAGACCGAATGTGAGATCGATTGTGAGATCGATAGTGCAATCGATAGTGAGATCGATTGTGAGATCGATTGTGAGATCGATTGCGAGATCGATCGAGTGAGATCGATCGAGCGATACCGATAGTGAGATCGATAGTGGGATCGATAGTGAAACCGATCGAGTGAGACGTTGGTTCCTCCCCCCCGAACCTCCTTATCATCCGAAGGGTGGTCGTGTATATATATATATATACACATATGTATGGACGCCCCCCACCAAGATCTACCTCATCGTTCTTCTGCAGGGGTCAACCTCATTCTGCCTTTTCTTCTTCGCATCGTCGTGTAGGGGGAGGAGGAGGAGGAGGAGGAGGAGGAGGAGGAGGAGGAGGAGGAGGAGGAGAACCAGCAGCATAAGAAAGTAACAGAAGGATGGAATGAGGAGAAGGATCTCATCAGAAGAGGAAAGCGTAGGACGGAGGAGGAGGAGGAGGAGGAGGAGGCTCCCGCCTGAGAGGTCCCCAAAAAGCCCAAACAGGAGGAGGCTCCCACCTGAGAGGTCCCCCAAACAACCAAACAAGATGAGGCTCCCGCCTGAGAGGTCCCCCCACATACCAAGTAGAAGGAGTCTCTCGCCTGAGAGGTCCCCCAAACACCCAGACAGATGGAGGTTCCCGCCTGAGAGGTGCCCAAACAACCAAAAGAAACCCAAACACCATGCTTATCATCCCTGTAACTGTCCCAAAAAACAAAAAAAACAAAGTTCCAGAGGAGATGGCGGCCCTCGCCAACGCATGTGGGGCAGCGGCGTCGGATCTCTCATGGAACTATGTTTTTTTTGGTTTCCTGGGACAGTTGCAGGGATGAGAGGCATGGTGTTTGGGTTTCTTTAAATTGTTTGGGGACCTCTCAGGCGGGAACCTCCATCTGTTTGGGTTTTTTGGGGACCTCTCAGGCGGGAGCCTCCTTCTGCTTGGTTGTTTCGGGGACCTCTCAGGCGGGGGCCTCATCTTGTTTGTTTTTTTGGGGACCTCTCAAGCGCGAGCTTCCTTTTGTTTTTTTTGTTTGGACCTCTCAGGCGAGAGCCTCGTCTTGTTTGGGTTTGGGGGGGACCTCTCAGGCGGGAGCCTCCTCCTGTTTTTGGGGACCTCTCAGCTGAGAGCCTCCTCACAGTGAGTAGTTTGGCAACCTCTGAGCCGGGAGCCGGCGTTGATGGTAATGGAACTGCCATCCAGGAGGGGGAATTCAAGAGGAGGGGGAGGAGGAGGAGGAGGAGGAGGAGGAGGAGGAGGAGGAGGAGGAGGAAAAGGATGATGCTGAGGAGGATGCGGATGCGGATGCGGATGCGGAGGAGGAGGAGGAGGAGGAGGAGGAGGAGGAGCAGGAGGAGGAGGAGGAGGAGGAGGAGGAGGAGGAGGAGGAGGAGCAGGAGGAGGAGGAGGAGGAGGAGGAGGAGTAGTAGGAGGAGGAAGAGGAGGGGGAGGAGGAGGAGGAGGAGGGAGGAGGAGGAGGAGGAGGAGGAGAGGAGGAGGAGGAGGAGGAGGAGGAGGAGGAGGAGGAGGAGGAGGGGGAGGGGGAGGAGGAGGAGAAAAAGAGGATCCCCCCCACCAGCGCCCACAGGCAGGCCATTTTCGAACGGGCTCATGCCAACTGCGGAGGAGGGAAGGCAACCTCAGAAAGATAACTCGGGGCGCAATGCTCTTAAAATGGGTGTAACACCCAGGGTGTAGTCAAAGGCGCAATGCCTATGTAGGATGAGGATGATAGGGGAGGAGCAGCAGGGCGTAATGCTCTTGCTTTTAGCTGTAGGGGGGAAGAGCGCAATGCTCTAGGAGGACGAATGTAATACTCTAAAGCGCTGGGCGTAAGGCTCTTCACATTGGCGTAATGCCCAGGGGTGACTGGGGGCAGAGTAACCCTGCTCCACCTTTCGCCGCCCCCTCACAAGGGGAAATCAAGAGGTACCGATGCCGCTACTCCCCGGACCTCTCCCAGGGTGCGATCTAACCAGAATGTCGAGGCGAATCCAGCGGTGGCGACGAGGGCCTCCCAGGAGGCCGGAGAAAAAGGGAAACCAGGGAAGGGTAGCGGTATGGGTGCCTTTTCCTCCTCCGACTCACTCTTGCCCGCAACCGCAGGGGCTATGGCATAGGTGCCGTCGCCCTGACAGGCCGAGCGCGCTTCTGCAAGTCCCTCGGCGTCCGCGGCTCGTGCACTCGGCCTCATGCGCCGGCGCTCCAGCGGCGCTCCACCGGCACGCGTGGCCCAGCGGCTCCACTTGAGGACGTGGGCCGCCCCCGCGGAGAAGACGGCCGCGGCCCTTCAGCATCGATCCCCAGTGGGAACGGGAGCTCCGCCCCATCAGCCAACCCTCCCAGCTCCCAGGCGGAGCTACGCCCCGCGAAAACAGAGGGAGCAGGCATATGTGATTCCAGGTCGAGCATTCTCCTACGCCCCCCCCCCCACCCCAGATGGGATGGGTGGCAGTATTCACAGCCCCCCCCCCCGCCAGGGGGGGGGACGACAACGACGACAACGGCGACGACGACGATGCCGACGACGATGCTGACGACGACCACGGTGACGTCGACGAGTGAAGACGACGATGGTGATTACGACGACGACGATGACGACGATGATGATGGTGGTGATGATGATGATGATGATGATGATGATGATGATGATGATGATGATGATGATGATGATGATGATGATGATGGTCGTGGTGGTGGTTGTGGTGGTGTGGTGGTGGTGGTGATGATGATGATGATGATGCTGATGATGATGATGATGATGATGATGGATGGCGACGACGACGACGACTACGACTGACGACGACGACGACGAGGACAACGAGGACGGCGACGGCGACGGCGACGGCGACGGCGACGGCGACGGTGACGGCGACGACGACGACGACGACCAGGCCACGCCCACAGAGCCCGGACCATAAGGGGGTGGGAGTGGCTCATCGCGCGGGGGGGTGGGGGTGAAGGCATCAGCATGATAGGGGATTGGTGGGGCGGACCCCAGGATTGTACACATTTGTTTATGCATCGTACATTACAATCTCTATACCAATGTATATGTATGTATGTATGTATGCATGCATGCAACCCTTCAAACGACCCGGGAAAACCTCACGAGAGCCCGAAGACGGCCCCAGACGGGTTCCAGGCGTTTTGGCGCGTTCTCGACCCCAGAGAGCCCCAATACTGTCCACGACGACCCTCAAGAAGCCGTCATACCCCCAAATATCGCTTCAAAAAAGTCCCAAGAGGCCTCCAAGAGCATTCCCAAGGAGGCCCCCAAAGGCAAAACTCATTGATTGATAATTGGTTTTTGGTGAATTTCGGACCTCTCCTCTTTTCAGCTTCCCGACGCTCCAAGACGGCTGTCGTTTGGGCGTCCGAAGCCGCCTGGGCGGCTCCCAAATCGCCCCACAACCATCCGAAATGGCTTCCAGGCAACCCAAGAGAGCCCCGAAACGGTACAACGGGGGTCCGAGATGGTTCTAAGAGAGCCCCTTTGCCTCCCCAGATGGCCCCAACACGCCCTCCGAAGCATTCCGAATCGTGACCCGGTCGTTCAGGGAGACCGCGGTTGGAGGCGGGGTGGCCCGAGGAAGCCCCCAGATGCCCCCAGTACACGCCCAGGAGGCCTCCAAAAGGCTTTTCAAGAAAGCCTGAACAACTCTTGTGAGGCCCCCAGAGGCTCTCCAAGGAAGAGCCTCCGCCAAAAAGAGCTGAGAAGGCTGGGGCGAATGCGCAGGGTACGGCGAGAATGAGGAAAAAGAAGCATGGAGGAAGGATAACGAATAAAGTATCTATAACGGCGATGCCGAAAAAAGGCAACAATGAGTTACCGCTAAATTGTCGGCTTGACCTTCCTGCTATTCTGCCTGCATGCCAAACTTCAAGGACCAAGGTGCATGGCGCGAAACGCCACTGCAGTCTTGTCTATATATCTATTTATGTATGTGCACATACGTAAATCTAGACATTCATATCTTTACAAGACTCCGATGGCGCTTCGCGCCCTGCACCTTGGCCCATCAGGATCGGCGCGCAGGCGGCAGGCGGGGCGCAGGAGAGAGAGAGAGAGAGAGAGAGAGAGAGCGAGAGAGCGAGAGACAGAGAGAGAGAGAGGGAGAAGGAGAGAAAGAAAGAGAGAGAGAGAGAGCAACAAGAGAGAGAGAGAGAGGAAGGGAGAGGCAGAGAGAGAAGACCCAACAAGACGAAGGCTCCTTGTTGCCGTTAGCGCCGTCGTTATTACAAATCAGTTATAAATCACTTGTCCCTCATGTTTTCTCTTCATGTTTACTCGTCGTTCCCTGTATCAAGTTTCAGATTTTATTGCGTGGCCTCCTCCTCGGAGGGCTTTCTGGGAATCTCGCGAGAGTTTTTTCGTGCTCATGTTTTTTTGTTTTTGTGTTTGATCTTTCAACGCTTCCCTGGGCCCAGCCCTGAACCCAGCCTTCCAATGTACAGTACGCAGTACGCAAGGTGCGAAAAGTCTAATTGTCCGAAGGCGATCACACAGGTATGGCAAGTTACAAGTGAAAAACTAACTATCATCTTCCGACTGAAGATTCTAGCAACACTATTTGTGGGATAACCAGGTCAAACATCATGCATACGTGAGTTTGTGCATGATAAGGATGCAACGCCATCCGTCCGATAGGAAATCCAGGCACAGCCCCATGTGTTGAACTGAACCTATCGCATGTGTAGGGATCCAACTAATAGGTCCGACTCCGCCGACCTCTTGGGATCCCAGCTTCTGGAGCATTCGTGAGCACAGAAGCGGGACGCGCGAACGGAGTGGGAGGCGAGCCCCTCTTATTGAGCGCTTGGATGTTTTCTTGGAGCCCCATTTGGACCGTCGTGGGGCCCTTTCAGACTGTTTTGGGCCCCTTGTGGGCTGTCTCGGGGGGCTCTGGCCGTCGTGGGGATCTGCTGGGGGCTTCTTGGGGCTGTCTTGGAGCTTCTTTGGGGGCCCCCTGGGGCCGTCTTGGGCCGTCCGGGGCTCTCTTGGGCCGTTTTGAGGCTATCTTGGGTCGTCGTGGAGCTTTCGGGGGCTGTCTTGGGGCCCTCTTGGAGCTTTGTAGAACGAGTGTGGCAAAACATGAACGATTTACTCAAGGAATGGGACGATGTTGGCTTGTTTGGCGTTATCTTGGGGCTCTTCGGGGCCTCTTGGGGGGGGGGTTCTTGGGCCGTCTTGGAGCTTCTTGGGTGCCTTTTCGGGCTTTTGGGAATGCCTTGAACTGCCGGGAGGCATCGGGGGCCGTTTTGGAGCGCTCTTGGGCCGTCTTGGAACCGTATTGGATCCCTTGGGGGCCGTACTGGACGCCCAGGGTGGTCGAGATTCGCTCGGGAGTGGGGTGGGAGGGTGGGGTCCCCAGCTTTGTAAAAATATTACACCAGAGAAAAACCCCTAATCAGTGGATGGTTTCGACTGAGGAGATCGACTGGGGACCCAGGAGCCTGGGAGCCCAGAACCCACCGAAATCGGCCTGGAACCAATAACCAGGAACCTGGGAACCCGGAACCGGGAACCCGGGAACCCAGTCTGCTACCAAAATCGGCGGGAAATTTTCGCCAGATGTTTTTAATTTCCGCTAGGACCCCTTCAGTGCAAGCACTGGTTGGGGCATAAAGAGGAACATTCAGATGTGTACCCGCCTGGGTGTGTAAGTGGGCCAGTGGGGCCAAGGCCACGCCAGCATTCCGAAGGACGAGGCACATGCACCCAACCTTGGTGAGCACCGGCCCGACGGACCAAGGCCCGAGGGGTCGGTGAAGCGACGCTCGGCCGCAGGCGATTCGCAGGCGGCAGCTCGGCGGAGGCGCCAGCTGGGAGGTCAGCGCGGGGGGTGGCAACACGAAGGTGCTGCCGAGAAGGTAGCCACGGCCGTTCCCGAAGGGAGCCTGCCCCCCCGAGGGCGGCACGCGAGCAAGCGGTAAGCGGTGCAGGAATGCCCAGGGCGAGAGGGGTTCGCAGCTCCCCACAGGGGACATGGGCGATCAGAGCACAGCGTTCCCGGTTCGTCGTTGTCGTCGTCGTTGCCGTCGAGGCCTCCGGGCCGTGGCGCCCAGACGAGAAACACATAGTCTGATGGTCGTCCCTGCCCGATTCGGGTTTGAGCCCGTCGGTCGCACGAGGGCGGTGGTGGGCGGTTCTTTGGTGGGGGCTCGGCGGAGGCGGAAGCCGGGAGGCCAGCGCTGAAGGCGGCAGCGTCGAGGTTGTTGCTGTCCTGCCCGTTCTGGTCCTGGCGGGGATGGGCGGCGTGGTGCTTGCTGGCAGCGTCAATGACGCAGTGCACCAACCGCGCCCGGCGGTGGGGTTGCTGTCGGGTCCCTGCGTCCAGGCTCCCTCTGCCCCCGCTCCTATCCCCACAGCTGCCCCCTCCGCCCTCGCCGCGTGCCGTGTCGTCGCCCACGGGGAGGGAAGGGTTGGCCTGGCAAGGCGCACGGGGCTGATCTTGCTTAGAGGCGGCTTCCTTCATGACCCACGCTGGAAATGGAGCAGAGGGAGGCCAGGCAGGAGGACGAGCAGGAGCTGTGCATCGGGAGCAGCAGCATCCCACCGAGCGGCTAGATCTGGGACGCTCCAAGAAGTAGGCATGCCCTCGGGCCCCAAGGTTGCGAAGACATCCGATGCGCAGAACCAGGATAAGCAAAGCACATTTGAACGAGCGCTTTCTGCCGCTGCTGGCGGGCAGGGTGGGGGGGTGAGGGGCGTAGTATCCCCCTCCCCGGTGTCATTGAAACAGTGCCGGCCAAGTATCACTTGAGACGTGTCGGCTGCGTGCCTCGAGTGTTGCCAGTCATGTGCTGCTGGAGGCAGCTTGAGACTTTTAGTCTGTCTGCCTCAAGGGGGACCTCCTGGAGGCAGCTTTGCGGCCTCTTGGAGGCTGCTTCTCAGGGGCCCTTCAGGCCCGCGTGGAGGCCTCTTCGGGCCTCCCGGCCGCTGGGGAGCTGCTTGGGGGCCCAAAGTGGCCTCCTTGAAGCCCTTGCAGGCGGGGCGCCAGATTTTTCGGCTCGTGGCTCCTGGGGCCCTCCGTGGGAGGCCTCTTGGAGGTCTCCTGGGGCCTCTTGGGGGCCTCTGGGCCTCTCAGGGGGCCATCTTGGGCGCCTCGGGCCGATCTCGCGGCGACCCGAGGCCGTCGTCGGCCGTCTCGGGGGCCTCCCGGGCCCCTCGGGCCGGTCTGGGGGCCCTCCTGGGCCCGAACGAGGGTCACGCGACGGGGCGGCGCGCCACGCCACGCCCCGGGGGGGCCACGCGGGCAGGCCCAAGAGACCAGCGCCACGGGAAGGGATGGGCGGGAGGGGTCGGCCCTCTTCTTCGGCAGGCCGCCGGGCGCGCACACCCGAAGCGTCGGCTGTAGGCCTGCGGCT